GTGGTTTTTATTCGGGAGCTAAAATGGGCTAGACTGGGTGTGCAAACACCCTGTCATTATTTGGGAGCAGAAGGGGTGAAGAGACCCACCCAGAATTACATTTGCATGTTATGTGGGCCTGTGGAAGTCCAAGGGCCACCTGCAGGCATTTGTTATCTCTTTCCATCATGTTGTCACAGGGTTGAATCAAGTCATCAGGTTTTGTGACAGATGCTTTTACCCACCGAATCGTCTCACTGTCTAGTGCATTTGCCACGATTTATCGTGACACAGAGTAGAATGATATGAAAAATAGGGAGTTTTGTGAAGAGAGAAATTTTAACCCAGTTAAATTTAAGAACAGAGCTGGTGACAAGAAAGTTTCTGTAATTGTTAGAGTATGATCATTGCGGAATAATGATGGACTTCAGCGAAGGTGCACTGAAGATGCAACCCTACCCACTGAAGGCTGCAAGATTAGAACAATGCAAGTTCATTTGCAAGGGGAGTGTCTGAAAGCATCCAGCCTTCCGTGTACTCTGCTGGAAAACAGTTGCCTAGGAAAGACAGGGGCTCCATTCTGAAGGTGTGCAGAGATCACTATAGCTGTGGCCCAAAAAGCCGAGTCTGAAGATAATATCCTTTCTGTTGTTGACAGTGAAGTGTACAAATGCAAGTGTAAAGGTGTTATGACGCCCTGCACCCAGGTTCCTGAACTTACAATGTCTAACAGGGTCATCTAACTCGTGTGAAGTGTCTGAATAGGCTGTGCGTGGAGCTCTGATGGTGAAACCCAAGTTATAGTGGAGATCCCACTATATATATCCACTGAATGAAGGAAGAAGCTCCAGGCTTGAAACAGAGGTAATGTGAGAGAGCTGCATTAGTCAGGGTTCTCTAAGGGGACGAAATTGATTATATATATATATATATATATATATATATATATATATATATATATATATATAAAGCAGATTTACTAAATTGGCTTGCTGACTGTGTCTCATGAAGCCCACCCATGGCTGTTTTATGACAGAAAGGTTAAGAGCCCGGTAGGTAGCTGTTCAGACCATGAGCCTGTGTGTCTCAGCATTCTTAGTATTCTTAGTCTGCCACTGGAGTTTCAGAAGATTCCTGGAGAGCTGGTGATCTGAGGACTACGTTGAAATTTCAAAGAAGTTAGTTCTAAAATACAGGCAATGTGACACTGCAACGACAGGATGGGTGAATTTGCCAGCTAGAGTCAGAGGCAGAAGGCAAAAACCAAAAGCTTCTTTTTCCCATGTCCTTTAATGTGGGCTACTCCTAGGAGGTGTGCCTTATTAGGTTGGATCTTTTTGCCTCAATCTGATCAAGCAAATCCTTCACAGGCATGCTCAGCAGTTTGGGTTTTTAGCTGATTTCCAATCTGGTAAGTAGACAACCAAGATCTCAAGAGGTCACTTATGATTCAGGCCCTAATACTGGAGGATGAATCTTCCCTACGTGATGAGAAGCCAGATGATCTCATCATGGGCCAAGATGCCAGACATGGGTTTGTATTTGCCCTACTAGGTTTTGGTCTTGCCTGGTCCAATCTTTCCTTGTTGCCTTCTGACTCCTCCCCTTTAATATATGTTGAAGATATAAGAACCGGTACTCACAGCTATGAGTTTGCTTTGAGTCTCAGAGTGACTCTGGACCTTGAAACAGTGTTGGAAATCTAAGACTTTTGAATATGAAGTGAATGCATTTTGTATTATGAGATAGCCATAAGCCTACGGTGGCTAGAAGCAGGTTATGGTTTGCATGTAAAATGTCCCAATGGGTTGATATGTTTAAACACCTAGTCTCCAGTTGGTGGTACTATATGGGGAGGTTATGTATGAACCTTTAAGAGGTGATAAGGAGGAAGTGAGGCATCTGGAGGAAGAGAAGTGTTAGGGGCAGTCCTTGACGTTTCTAGCCCAGCTCTGTTTCTTGCTCCCCTGACATGTGAGCAAGCAGCCTCCGTATGCTTACACTGCATGAAGCATCCAATACCATGCTTTCTAGGCCATGATAAATTGAATACCTTCAAGCCGAATCCTATGTTTCCTCAGTGAAGCAGCAGGAATGACATTCAATAGAGAGATGGTGTCACAGTATGGGTGAAGACAGAGGGAGGGGGATGTGTCAAGTTAATATTCAGAGAGCCTAAGATCCAAGGGGGTTTTGGGCATGAGAGAGAGACTTGCCGTATCGACACACGTGTTTACGTCTTTGCTCTCATTTTCCCCATCATTTTGCTCTCATCTATCCCTTGCCATCTGTCTTTGTGTGTCCAAGTCCTACACACTTTTCAAGGACTGGTTCAAATGCCACATTACAAATGAAATCTTTTCCAGATGCATCACATTTTTTTCAAAATCCTGTGGTATATTGCCTTTATTTCTTGTCAACAATAGTCACTTTATACCCCTGTTCTAATCTTAATGCTTACCTGCACATACCAAACAATGAAGGGGTATGCAGATCTCTTTTATTTGCTAACCTAAGTATTAAACTCAGTGCACATTAGCAGAATATACTTGTAATTTTGTTAAATGATTGGGCATAAGACAAACGAGATTATTACTACTATGTTAAGATTTAAAGAAGTGACTTTCTGCTTTGGTTCATGGGAAAAACATATGTTGTTGTTTTGAGACAGGGTTATCCTGTAATTCTCTATGTAGTTCAGACTGGCCTCCAATTCATAGAGATTCACCTGCTTCTGGCTCCCGAGTTCTGGGAATAAAGGCACACGCCACCATGCCCTGTTGTAGTAAACTATTTAAATCCTGGCCCTGGGGTGTCTACTCTGCCTTTAGTTATTGAAGTTCCTGGATGAAAAACACACTCTCGGCCTTTGTATTTACAATAAGTCTTAAGCTGCACAAGAGTTGGGAAGATACCTAGCTTCCATGCTGTTAGAACCCACTTTCCTATTGATAACCCTGAATTATTACTTACTAATTACCATGTTTCATCTGAGCTGCTCTTAACTCCAATTGGCTAGCCCACAGAGACATATTCTTATGGCTCAGCTAATCCACGACATCTTCTCCTTCTCCGTCCTCCACGTTCTTCTTCTCCTCTTTCTTCAACCTCAAGTCCCTGGAAACCTAAACCCCACCTATGTTTCTTCTGCCCAGCTATTGGCTTTGGCATTTTTATTCACCAATCAGAAATAACTTGGGACAGGGTCCCAGGGGCTACATACAGTCTCCAGGTCTTGGAGGTCCACACTTAGCATTAGAGTAGACATTAAAAGACAAAACCTCAACAATGCCCATTCATGGGGAAAACCTGATGGTAATTTAGTCTCTGATCTGCTTCAGGAGCTGGACAAATCACTAGTGTACATCAAATCTTCACATTTCACAGTAGGTTTCTAAAAAACACTTTCTTATAACATTACCTTACATTCTCTAAAATTGAATCTAAGGAATTAAGTTTCCAAAGTCTCACAGTAGTGAGTGATAGAACCAAAATCTGACTGGAGGTTTAACTAACCACACCTGTACCCTCCCCCTGCACCCTGCCATGCCTCATCTCCTTTCTGCACACCATCTGCCAAGGTTCCCCATCCAATCACAAGGAGCACCTCCAGCAGTGGCTGTCCCCACCAAGTGCACATTGGCCTCTGATTCCAGAAGAAGGTGCTCTGCAGAAGTTACCAGGTCAGCCCTAATAGTTCCAGAACCATTTTTTGAGAGAACAAGTGGAGTTTAGTATATGCAAGTTAGTGATGAAAACTGAATGAAATGCAGACTATTCCCTGACCTGGAAAATTATGCCTTGTAGTATTCAAAGGTATATGGATCATTCAGAGGTCCAAAGAAGCAGAATCAAGAGAATACATGTGTGTTTATATGTGTGTGTATGTGTGTATATTCATCTATTCTCTGTCTCTCTGTTTCTGTCTTTCTGTGTCTCTTTGTCTCTGTTTCCCCCACCCTCTCTCTCTACCTCTTTCTCTCTAAATGAGAGAAGAAAACACTCCAAGGAGCTGATATGTGGGATTAGAGAGGTTGAAACACATGCTATCTGCAAAGCACCCAGTATACTGGAAATCTAGGGATGTGTCACTATTTATAGCTCAAGTCCAAGTCCAAGGGCATTTTGCTGACAGAATTTACTCTTTCTTCATGGAACCTCCAGGTTTTTTTCCCCTAAAATCTTGAACTGGCAAGATAAGACCCATCTACAATATGAAAGACAATCTGCTTTTCATAAAATCTATTGAACAAAACATTAATTAATGTACAAAATGCCCAAATCTGGTTGGAGACTTCAGGGTTTTTGATACTTGAATTACAGTCTAGAAGCATTCATGGGCTAAGTTTCATTTCTAGGGGAAGAAGGTATGGCTACAGGGTCTTCCTTTTCTACATGGAGAATGTGTCTAGCATTATTTTATTTTATTATTCTTTGAGAATTTCATACACATACACTATGCATTTTGATGATATCCACTCTCTCCTCCAATGCTCCTTAACACTACCTCCCCCAAATTTCATGTTCTTCATTTTACTTTTACTTTCGATAACCCACTGAGTCTAATTCAAACCCATATGTGTAGAATATGGGAAGCCTACCAGTGGCCACATTTCCAGCAACCATCAAGGTTAACTGCCAGTAGCTTCCCAGTTAGGGATTGGAGCCCATGAACCACTCTCATATTCATGCTGGAAATATTGGAATGTTGACTGTCTCCATTTTGTGTAGCTCTCGTGCAGATACCTATAGGTACTGTGAGTTCATGAGCACACACGCTGCCATATCCCTAGGTCTGCATTTCACAGCTCTCTTCCCCAGCCTCCTGCTGTTACGTTCTTTCCATTCCCTCGCCTGTGGTGTTTCCTAAGCCTGTGAGGTGGGGGATGGAGGGGTGTTGATATAAATGTCTTGCCTAAGGCTGAGCATGTACAGTCACTTAACCAATGATGAGTCTTTTCATTAACCAGTGGCCACACAAAAAGAAGCCACTCTGATCAAGGATGAAAGCAACACAGGTCTATGGGTATAAGGATAAATAATTAGAAGGCAGTTCCACCAAACAGCTTTTCATGTATCATGCCAGTTATGCCAGAGCGACTCTCATGTTATACACAAAATTGAGACATGCTCAAAATCACATCACTGGTGAGTGGGCCACCGGGAGTCAATGCAGAGCCCGTGCTTCCTTGTAACATCAGCCTCTGTTCAGTGATGGTACATTTATCTGTCCATCTAGACCTCGAATGCAGACTCAGGAGGCCATATCCCCCATATCCCAGGCTGATGCTACAGGGCCACATCCAGGAGGAATCTGTGTCTCTCAAAGTTGATGTCTTTGCTTCTCTTCACTGCCCATGCCTAGGACAGTGAGTGCTCCCTAAGGCATAAAGTAAATATCTGTTAGATAAATAAATCATTCAATACACTGACAATTCTATAAATAACATTTTGATTTTAGAAACAAATAAATTCTAGAGATACTGCTGGCCACACAAATCATCATTTTGGAAGAGAAAAAACATGTATAGAAATTCTAAGGTCTCTGTGCCAGTTGTAATTTCATGGTTTCTCAGCTGTGAAATGCTGGGTTGTTCATTTCGTAGAGCAAGGCTTGGTCCAGTGGCTTCTGTAATAACATTCAATTCTCAGATTCAGTGTTTCATAGAGTAGCTTTTAAAGCCTTTTTTTGTCAGTTCAAAGTATGTTACCTAAGAAAATAATCCATTGCAACCTAGAGCCAAGTTTAAGGAGCACAGCTATAACCCCAGCACTCAGCAGGCTAAGGCTAAGCATCACAAGGTTAAGGCTGGCTTAGTTAACCTAGTGAGGTCTTGTCTTAATAAAACCTAGGGTTGCTTTTAAAAAAAAAACAGCCTAGTGTTGTTTTAAATAAAGATTGAAAATTAAACAAATAAACCAGTAATCAAATTCTTTCACTCTAGTGAAAGGAGAAATCTTCAAATATTTAGGCAGCTCTTTACAATGAAGAGGCCATAAATATGTATTTAAATACAGATATGTATATATATTAGGCTGGTATTTTTTATATATATATATATATATGGGTTTGAGTTTTCAGTGTGTACTACAGCCTATCTGCTAAATGCTTAGTTACTAGTTTGTGATGATGCTGGAAAGGCATGAAACCTTTGGAAGGCATGATGGTCCTCTTGGCTGTCGATGAGATTTAGATTCTCCATATCTCTGGGCAGATCTGTGAAGAATGATGTGGCATAGGTTTCTGGGGATGGGAAGGCCCACCCTAAATGGGAGCGGTACTATTCCATGGGTTGAATCTGGGACTGATTAGGCAGGAGAAAATGACCTGAGTATAGGTACTCGTTGCTGTTTTCTGACAGTGGAGGTGATGTAACCAGCTGCCTCCTGCCCCTCCTGCTGTACCTCCTCTGCCATGTTGAACTGTATCTCTTGGAACTGCAAGTCCAAGAAACCTTATCTTTCTTGGTGTCTTGTCAGGTATTTTGCTGCAGCAACAAGACAATATTGTGGAAGAAGACAAGTCTTTAGTAGCATGTCCTTAAAGCACATTTGGGACCCTGCCTTCCTCCTAGTTGCTTCCAGAGCACAATAAGGTGAGGAGCTTTGCTTCATGTGCTCGCTGCCACCAGCCACTGCCTTATCATCAGCCCAAAGCAGTGCGGCCAATTGTGGACTGAAGCCTCGGAAGCCACAAGCCAAACTCAATCTTTCTTCATTTTGAATTTACTTTTATAAGGAGTTTTTCTGGATGACAAGACGATGACTAATGCAATATCTGTGTGATATAAATCGGGAAACAGGAAATAGAACTGGGAGCACCTGAATCAGGCCCCCCAGAATCTGCTGACATTACTAGCTATCTCTCCGAGGTGGTAAGATTTACACCCTACACAAGTTTGGCAAAGCTTCCAAGGAAGAAGTGGAAATTCACAGCACAAGCTTCACGATTCTAGATTCTCTTTCCCACTTCATTAATTTACAAGCAAAATATAAATAATAATTGTTTTGCAATTACTCATTCTTTCTATTTTCATTAGCGTAATTTTCTCAATCTTTGCAGACGTAGCTGTCATTTCTAGGCCTGGTATGTGGCTGTCTAGTGGCTGCTGATTCTTTCCCCATTCTACCAGGAAGAAGACAAAACCATTTGACAGAACACGTGAGAACTGAGGACAAACAGTTATGTCACAAAACAAAGTATCTACCGTTTCTCTCTCTGTCTCTCTCTCTCTCTGTCTTTCTCTCTCTGTCTCTGTCTCTCTCTCTCTGTCTCTCTGTCTCTGTCTCTGTCTCTCTCTCTCTCTCTCTCTCTGCCTCTTTCTCTTCTCAGAGAAACTTAGATTTCTATGAAAAGTAAAAACTGAAGCTGAGAATGGTGGTACATTCCTAAAACATGGGAGAGAGAGAGGGAGAAGGATCACTGCAAGTTCTAGGCCAGCCAGGGTTGCAGAGCCAGACTCCCATCTTGATGGCAAATTTACAAAACCAAACAATAAAAATTAAGAGCCAGAAACCAAGCATGAGTCAAGAGTTGGGGTTTAAGGAAATGTTGAAGATATCGATCAGGGAGGACGGGAGTGTGGGGAGAGGATGAATGGAAGTCAGTAGGAAAAGATGGACTGTAAAACATGAGGCAGGACCTGCTGGCGAGCCTCAGACCCCGTGTTCGTGAGACTTGACCTTCAGTCCTGCAACAAACAACAAGAAATCTTAAGAATCCAAAAGGGGATATGTTATCAGAGAGAGTAGTGATCCAAAAGCATTTTAAGATTATTTCTATGTGAAATTGAAGCTCTAAATACAATGTGTATTTGGCTTTCCGTTTCCCCTGTGTCTTCTGCGGAGCCAGAAGAGAAACAAAACACTGAAGTGCTGGAAAAAGTGCACAGTGACTACAGGATGTCCTGTTACATTATCTGGTCAGGCAGACCCGTGACTCACTGTATAGCTTGACACATCGGAAATGGGTTTATTGTGCATCAGCCCTCTCCCTCATAAATATTAAACACACAGATGTGATGATAACAAGCTATCTTTGTCCTAATATAAAGGTTTCTGATGTACTTTCTTTTTGAAAAGGAAGAAACTTCAGACATATTGATGATGATAAGAAAAGGTACAGGAGCCTCACGTTAATGGCCTTCGAAGCACTCCAAGTTTCTGCAGCTCCCCTTCTGAAAGGTGAGAGAGTAATAAATGCTATAAAAAAAAAGTTGTCCTGCGCATTTCACCGCTGTCTTCCAAACCTGGGGTGGCATTTGCCCAACTACAAAGTCTCCAGTCCTTCACCCATGATGTGTTGTGAGTGGAAGTGTACCTCAGTTGCAGAGTGCTTGCCTAGCACGCTGAAGGCTCTGGGTTCCATCCCAAGCACAACAGGAATATATTTTAAAACTCACCAGTAATAGAATAATAATTATCACAAATATAAGTTAAATAATAATAAACATAATCGTAAAAAGGAACCTACATATTTTCTCATAGTGAAGCTGTACAAACAAATTCAATGCAGCCAATTCTGCAATCCTTTGAGAAATGAAACTCATACAGAGGAGGAATCTTCTTCCTCTTTTTAAAAGGCAGTGCTTTTTTTAGGAGCCTAAAATGTCTACTGTACATAGACACTCCTTGATTACGTTGCGTCAGAGAATCTACTTTCAGTATACAGCGACGAGGATCACTAAGCCACATTGTTGCTGTGTTGTATTGTATTTAAGACAGGGTCACACTCTGTAGTTCAAACTTGTCTGGAATTCACTATGTAGCTCAAGTTGATCTCAAACTTGCAGTCATCCACCTGGCCCAGTCTCCCAAATGCTGGAATGATGAGTGGAAGCAAATAGTGCCATCAGCCCACACCATCCCTGAAAAGAAATACTTTTGCAAAGAAAGAAATGTCCTTCAGGCCTATCACTGAAATTGCTAAATGATAAAATTTAGCCTTAGTTTTAGAACTTTCATATGTTTACAGATTTTGACCTAGTATTGTGTGTGTCCAGGGTGGTATGTGTACAATATGTGTGTTTGTGTACGGGTATGTGTATAGAGGTATGTGTATGTAGGGCACAGTTTGTATAGAACTACACATGCACACAGATATGTGTGTGTATTGTGTTTGTATAGGGAAGACGTCTTCAACGGTGTTTTTAAAGGTAAGAGTGTATATGTAGAAGTACATTGTTTTTTTGTTTTGTTTTTGTTTTTCAAGACAGGGTTTCTCTGTATAGCCCTGGCTGTCCTGGAACTCACTCTGTAGATCAGGCTGGCCGAAAACTCAGAAATCCGACTGCCTCTGCCTCCCAAGTGCAGGGATTAAAGGCATGTGCCACCACTGCCCGGCTTTGTTTATTTGTTTGTTTGTTTTGTGTAGAAGTGCATTGTAAGTAAACATTGTAAGCTTGTGTATGTCTATGGAGGAATATAGGTGTACAGGGATATACTGGGCTCTTAAGACACATGTGTTAACTTCATGTTGATACTTGTGTGCATAGGTTATTACTGGGGAATATATTCTGGGGTAATATTCTGGAAGTGAATTGGCTATGTGGGGAGATTTTGATATTAGAAGCTAAAGACACTGGTCACAGAAGATTGACTATGCAGAACCTTCAGATCAAGGACAAGCATTGAAACTTCACTGAGAACAGTGGAGAGTTGCTGATCCCCCATCTAGTAGGGTAGAGAGGGAGGAGACTCTACATAAGATACTTTAATCATGGCAGCCACAATGCTTCCGCTGAACTGAAGGTTGGGTGGCATTAGGGATAAAGGGAGAACAAAGAAGTTGAGTATCAGTCTGTGACATCCCATCTCATAAAGGACAGGAACTTGGTTCCTGTAGGCAAGGGAATTGCTGCTAAGAAAAGCATAGACTCAAATTTCTACTCCATCTCTTGTTAAATTTTGAGATAGGGTCTCACTATGTAGCCTGTGATGGTCTGAAACATTCTGTGTAGATTGAGGTAGCCTTGAACTCCTAGAAATCTACCAGCCTTCATGGGCATTTACTTATGGTTGGTTGAGTCATGAGAACAGGACATCTGTAATAGGATTAATGGCTTTATAAGAAGCTAAGACATAGTTTAATTGCTTAGTTGAATTGAATAGGTTGCTTGTGCATGCGTGTGTGTGTGTGTGTGTGTGTGTGTGTCACACACACAGAGTAAGGTGAATGCCTGGGGTTTACTGGCCCTGCAACTTAGCCTACTGAACGAGCTCCAGGGCAATAAGAGACCTTGTTCCCACTCTACCCCACACCAAAGGTGAACAGTAATGTGAGGATCGACACCTGAGGTTGTCTTCTGACTTACACACATGCATGCATGCACCACTTCTGGGTTTTCTTTTTACTTGAGAGCTGGGGACGGGATGCAGGTGTTTCTGTATGTAAGGAAAGCACTCTAAAGAAGGAGCTACAGCTCGGCCACTAAATTGGGTATTCCTCTGTAGCTGATACTGACATGGGATTAATTACTTGTAGCCATAGGGTTAAACTCCCATTTCCCATGCCGCCTCAGCCTCCTGAGTGCTGGGATTACAGCAAACACAGTCATAACTTAATTCACACATTCACTCAACATAGGGTTAAATTGAGTCGCTTGCTGTGCACTAGCTTCTCTCATGGGTGGAAATAATCCCTACTTTTAGCCATGGAAATTGAATCTCATGAAGATTGAACTTGTTGGGGTGTCTAGGGGAGTCGGTTGAGAAGGCCAGTCTTCAGGCTTCAGCCTAGTCTCGCCCACAGCTTAGGGGCTGACCCAGGGAAACTGTGTAGAGATTTCTCCCTCCCAACAAACAGAAACCAGACTTAAGAGAGGAAGAACAAATAACACATTTGTTTTGTGAAGTGCAGAATTCAAATGAGTGTGTGACGTCCTCCCCCAAATTCAGCTAGCCTTATATAATTTTCTTCACTACAAATGCTGATGTTCTAGAATACTGAAACTCAACCGACAGAAATAACTCTCTGGAGTTTTTTAAGCATTGTGCCACAGAAAAGAGAATGAGGCCTAGAGGGAAAATAAGTGGAAATGCCTGGCTAAGCAGTAAACTAACTTTTAAGTTCACAGTAAGAGGAACAGTCTTTGTCTGGCATGATCTTAAGCAACTGTAGTCCCAGCTTCGTAGAAGGGTGAGATAGCAGAACTGGAGCCCAGGAGTTTGAGGCTAGCCTAGTCAACAGAGTGAGACCTGGTCTAAAAACAACCAGTTATCAAAAACAAAATAGACAAAACCCAAAACAAATCTAAAAACAGCCCAAGCTAAAAGCAAGCAAACAAAATCTGGATTTTTTTTTTCTGCCTCTAAATAGAACTTTCTAGTTGACTTTGAGGCTGGTTACAAGTTTCAGTCTAATGAACATCTTTTTTTTTTTTTAAAGTGAGACAGAAATGAATCAAAAATAAGTATGATTCTGGTCCAGTTCAGTTTAAATAATAAAAAATAAAGTGAGATGTTCAAACATTGAAGCTGACATT